GGCCGGTCCGCGTGTGTCCAGCAGGGCGGGGGAGGGTGCGACCGCTTGCGGCCCCTCCCCCGTGTATACCTTCTCGTTGGAGGTCTGTTTGAGGGGCTTTCCTCCCCTCTGTGTATCAAAGCTCGATTCAGATCCTGGCCGGAGCTTTTTTACAGCATATGAGGGCCCCTCCACCCTGCTCAGGGTTAATCTATAGCCCTAGATGACGAGATTATATGTATGTATGTAGCTGGAGGATAGGCTATAGGCAGTACACCCTGTACTGCTCTGAGGTTCCTGCAGTTTGCATAACTCTGTCTTTGACCAAACATTACAGATATTTCAGTTCCCTGTATAGTGTTATAGAATATTCAGCACTGGTAGCTGAAACATCTGTTATATTAGACTGGAGACATAAGAGCACTTAATCCAGAGGTATTATGTAAAATACTGTTATAAACACATTCTGCACTGCTAGTGGATTTTGCATATTAAAGTTTTTCACCCAAGGTTTCCATGTTTCATTGCACATATATATAGGGGACTCTACCCACACAGATGGGCCTTACAGCTGTCGGAATGTTACACCCGTGTACGACCGGCTCTGTCTATGCCCCTATAATGGGCCTGCTAGATCTGTGCTCAATTGACTGGACTGCTATGTCTGTGCCCCATTAATTGGCCTGCTAGGCCTGTGCCCTTATGACAGGCCTGCTCTATCGGTGCCCTTGTTGACCTGATCTATCGGTGCCCAGGCAAGCACCACTGCCATACTATCCAAGAGGACACCAGTAAAAGGCCACCTGAGTATGGTGGGAAGGGTGAAGGCCCTAAACTTCAAGGTTTTTTATGAAGACCCCAGGCACGCAACCACGGTTTACACCAGCCTGGCGGCGGCACAGCCCCATGGAGAATTTCACACAGGGAGGGACAAGTACTCAGACCTCAACAGGGGGACACAGTGTTCCCTTGTCTTTAGCAACTAACCCTCTAACTGCCTTCCGGTATCCATCTTAGATATCGGTAATCATTCTTGCGTCAGGTTAGCTCCTGGCCCTGTTCAGTTGGGCTTACTTGACTTGCTTTCAGGCCTGCTATTTACCTTCTATCCGAGGTATGTATTTACCCTTATCTACTTTTATCGTTTTGTTTTTCGTGCCTTCCTTTTCCCTATTGCTTAGGTCATCGAGAGTCCTGACATAAGACCTCCTCCGACTTCCCAGGCCCTCGAGGATTTGTGGAAAATGTCTCCAGCTTTCCTCAGATTGCCGACGGTCATCCTGGATCCTGCGCGCATGGGATCCAGGCGGTCCGTTGGTAGACTCCGTCAATGTTTCCAAAGGATGCTTTTTCTCATTGCCCATTTTTGTTATTTAAGATACTACTTCGTCTACCATCGATCTGATTTATTACCAGTAGATTCCACCTATCAGGTGAGGGATTCAGAGAGGTCTCGTGGCCAGAGAGGGTCCCTTCTCGAGATCAAAGTCCTACGCTATTGTTATTAGATGGTGAACCCCGCAGGGTCACCCTGGGTATGATATGGACTCTAGTTTGGATTACTAGAGGGTGCGGCCCTCCATCTCCTAGACCCGAGACCGATATTTTAATTTACATGAGTAGAGCGAACCCCTCTCATATAGTGAACCAGACACTGCTTCATTATTAGAGGGCGCGGCCCTCCCTCAACCTCAGCCCGATACTGATAGGGATACAGAGGACATACTTCGAGTGTGACACACTATCATAGAAGGAAACGGACACGGAGGCAGACTCTAACTTTTGCTGTTAACAGGTGCGTTCCACTCATAATATCAGCCGGATGCTAACACGGAGTTCGGCTACATTATTAGAGAGTGCAGCTCTCTCTCATACACTCAACACACTACGATGTCATCCATTTGTTCATCACACAGGCTTGTACCTGTACAGGACATGATGACTGCCTAGAAGGTGCATCCCTCCTGCACTCAATCCAATATAGAGGTGCATCCCACATACCGAGTTCACCACTGATGATTCGGCTCTGGTACAGGGGTATAGTACCTCACTGGTACGCAAGGGAGACAATGCTCCATAACAACTGGGCAAGGGGAGAGAACCCCTCCTCTAGATCTACGACCCCCTCCTATAGACCGTGCTACCAATTTTGCTTTAGAGGTCTACCTGATCATGCAGGGTATACAGGTTTAGACCAGATTCCTCTATTTTCACCTCCTATATGAACCTACTGGATCCGGCCACTGTATCCCACGTGAGAAAGACTCACAGAGGTATTACTGGGAGTGATTTCCCGCTTGTTTGCACATGTCACGGAGTCCTTATGGGACAGTATAGGGACGCTTTGAGCTGACCAGCTTGGGTTCAGCCCCCAGGATTGCTCCATTTTGTTGGTGACCCTATAACATTCCTTTGGATGTACTCCTGGAGACGGTACAGCTAAGGGTTGAGCCTCGACTATTACAAGATTGCAGGTGTTGGTATAATCGGACAAGCAATCACACTCCGTTCAGGTTATGCAGACCATTGTGAACGGACTGCACAGAGAGTTCTTTCCCATGTCAAGGTGACACGAGAGCTTGAGGCCTTCATAGAGCAAATGTGCACTGCCGTGCTCAGGTAAAAAGACCAGGGAAGGCCCACATCCCAGTCTGCAGCTATACCATACGCATGGATCACATGGAAAGACCGGAGTCCTCGATCGACTTGTTTTCACTGATCGTTAACAATCTTGGAATAAGATGATTGGACTACCTCCACTCCTCTGGGAACATACTTGGAGGGCCCTCCTTCTATACCCTAAATCCCTCACGGGAACTGTATTGAGGTTTCTCGCTAACCCACCTATTCAACTGTCAGCAAGGATAACTACTTGGACTCTATGGAGGAACGATGTGTGTCCCCTACTCCTACACGGACGTCACAAGTCGGGATGCAACCTACCACTGGAGTACTACTCAGGATGGGTGGCAGGCTCGGATATGGCTGCCCATGTTCTCAAACCGGACAATACCTGCTTCGGACGATTTAAGCTCGATCCATGTTTGTTATATCTGCTATCTGGAAGTCCTGTGGTGAGTGAAGGGACTCTACGTCTCTACGTATTAGAGAACACTATGAGTCCACGGGACTCTAAGCTAAAGGGAGGTATTCCTATATAGAGATGCTTTGACTTCGTTTATCAAATTCCCTTTCCTGGGTTTCTTGGCTTAGGGCCTGATCTTGGAGATGTGCAGGGACCTAGGGACTCATTATATTATACCCTATCTTGTAGGTGGTGTACAGACCAGGAGCTCCATACACGTATTTTGATAGGTCAGGCATAGATCAGGATCATATCGGATTATTTCACTCTCTCACTACAGTAAGTGAGGACTCTTTTTCGTTATACAGGTCCCAATTACCATTGGATACGGATGTCTTATCACTCTTCGATGATGATATAGCTGGATGGAAACCTCAACCCTGGTTACGTTCTCCTCCTTTTGGATATTCCGGGATTCACAATCCCCAGGGGAGTCGACCACCGTTTCACTTCACAAGTTCAGTTTCAGACCCTGATTGGACATCCTCTGGGAGTTTCCTTCCCTACCGCAGTCGTGGGTCACGCAGTCCATTTGGAATAATGGAATCACTCAGGATATGGCTAGTTTTGACTCAATCTTGCCTGCATATAAATTCATTCTCGGAGGAGACGACTCACCGAGTAGGTCATGAGTAAACGTAAGGCCCTACTCGGTTCTATTATGGAATTGATGGTAGACTTCACACGTTACTTGAGATTGGAGATTTGCCTGCAAGACCACATCACCGGGAGACCCTGGCACGATTGGAGGAGCCATCTTCCACATCAAGAGTCGAGGTCTGATGGCAGTTTTCCTATCGCGGCCCTAAAGTCCGCAAATGACCTTCAGCATTTTACACCTACAGGAAAATTACTAATAGATCAGCTTGGCAACACATGGACGGGCTGCTAAGAAACAGGTCATAACCCCAGGTACAATGGATCTACCCGTTGAGGGTGTTTTTTCCGTATTTTGGGGTGCCTTGTCAGTCGGCATTCTCATCGATTCATCTACTGTAACTTCTCGCAGTTGGAAGGTTTATTTAAGATTGCTCTAATATATCCCGGAATAGGTACCAGCGAAACAAACAGCGTTGGATGTGTTGGCTGAGCGTTAAAACAGCAAATACGAAGCCTCCTGTCATGTTATAAAATTGTAGATTATGCTAGCTTTAGTGTACCTATAATCTTAATTTTATTAATGACAGGAGGCGAGTATTTCTCGCCCATTCTTATCCCTCCCTTGTTTAATTTTATAGTTTGGTTTCATAGGTATGTATGCAACTCTGCTTGTTGTCTCTGCTACCTGTCACTTGTTCTTATGTATTTTCTGGTTGTTACACTGGGTGACTACATGTTTGTTCACAGTACATTTCATTAGATAACCAACCTATTCGATTCTGTTTTTTCTCTCATTTCTGTTTACAGTCCATCAATGCTATCTTGATTGACAGTTCTTCTCTGATGGTGGACATTGTTGTATTCATTGTATCAAGGACTTCGTTTCTTCCCCTATGTGTTTTCTGCATTTTGTTCTGTTTTTGTCACAGCTTGGAAGAGGAAATGATGCATGGAGAGAGAAGGTTTATAGTACCTAACTTTTTTCTGATTGGTTGTTTTCTGTGCTGCTGTGGAGTTCTAGTAAAGAGAGACTTAAGCAAATACTCGACTCCTGACATTAATAAAATTACGATTATAGGTACACTAAAGCTAGCATAATCTACAATTGTGATGAATTACAATTCATGTTGCCAAATGTAGGTTAAATTAGCCCAGCTGTGCCTAGGCCGAAATAAAGAATTTTATCAAATTAATTATTTTTGTATATAATATGCAGTTAATATTTCAGTTCACTAAATTTCAAAGTTTAATGAATAAACCTCTGTACTATATTCACTAAACTAATTAATTTTCTGTAGAGAATAGAAACCAAACTGCAAAGTTAAGGACAAAGTAGTGGATTTGGAAAAAAACATGTTTATTAAAGTGACAGAATTTTAATAGAAATAGGCACTTTTACAAGTGAATGACGAAACACCTCCCAGATGTTACTAATACAGATGGGAAGTTTTATTCCTCTTCTGTTAGCTTGACAAAATGCCTTCTCCTTTTCTCAATGAGCAGTACTACAGCTCATTGAGAAGCATTGGAAAGCCTCGATTAGATGTGACTGCATGTGTGGCTCTGATTGTAATATTTCCCCGCACAGATAGAAATTCTGTGTCTGGGAAAGAAGGGATGGCTTGCAAAGGCTACAGACATTAAACAGACATCAAACCTGCAGCTATGCAAAAATGCATGCATATTTTTTTTGTGGCGGTATATTTATTAAATATCTAGGTCTCCTCCTCCTGTGCAAAACTCCATTTGTGTCTCCCCTCCTCTCATAACCCCCATCTGTGTCTGTCCTTTTTTTCCAGTGCCTCTCCTCCTGTTAACCCGCCATGCGTGCCTCTCCTCCTATGCAATTTCCAAACCTGAATCTGTGTATCTCCTTCTGTCCAATTTCCATTGTCTCTCTATCTGTCAAAAATACATAATCTGTGTCTCTTCACCTTTCCAAACCACCAATCTGTGTCTCTCCTCCTGTTCAAACCCCATCTTGTTTCTAATTATTTCCCAGTGTCTTTCCACCTACCCCATTTCCAAACTTCCATCTGTGCCTCTCCTGTGCAATTTCCAAATCCCCATTCTGTATCCATTCTCCTATACAAACCTCCAATCCATGTCTCACTATCTTTCCTTACCCATAACCTGTGTCTCTCCTCCTGTCCAAACCCCCATCTGTGTTTCTCCTACTGTCCAAACCCCCATTGGGGTCTCTTCTCCTACCCAAACCCCTATCAGTGTCTCTCCTTATCTCACAGTGTCCTTCCTCCTGTCCAATTTCCAACCCTTCATCTGTGTCTCTCCTCCTGTTAACCCCTATATGTGTCTTTCCATGTCTTTCAGTGTGTCTCCTTGCAGCCTAGCTCCCACTTGTCTCCTGCCATAAGTGATAGATAGGAGCAGATATCTTATTTTTGCTGTGCTCTGTGATGCCCCCTGCATATTCAGCCAGTACAGAGAGGTAAAGAGATTATGTAACTTTCTATTCCTGCCTTTTTCCATACACAGTGACCCTTTGGCAGGCACCTATATTGCAGATAATCTCAGTCTATACTGCGAAAAAATACAAATACTAGCACTGGCCAGGCAGCCTTAAATACCAGCTGTGCTGGTAAAATACTGTTTAGGTGGCAACCTTAACCATTCTAGCATAGTCCAATCCCTCTACCTCCATTAGATCGCTGTTTTCAGAATGAGGGAGTTGGGCCATGCACAGATCAGGCTTCTCAGACTGAATGCAGTGATCCAAGAGACCTAGAGCATCTGTTTCCATCAACAAGTAGCAGGCAATGGGCAGGAGGAAATTATGGGGGCTTTTAGCAGGCTTTGCAAGCAACCCCAAGAGGCATGTGTCTGTAGGCAGATGCCTACTCTTACTGAAAGAGAGATATGGCCCTGATACTTCTATACTTTAATAGTAATATAAGTATTACTTATTACGAGAATGGTTTCTATCACAGAGATTGATTTTATGAAATAAGAACTTGAAAAAAAATCGAAAAGAACAAGTGTTATTCTAAAAGAATGATTAAATTAAATGACTGATTCTGTTAAAATATCTTTCAGATTGTAGCATTTCCATGTGACAAATCGAACACAATGTTGAGTAAAATAATTATGATAATAATAATTACTGCCTCGAGTGTTCTCCACAACATTATAGTTGCAAAAAGTAATACATATCATAAGCTTGTACGCAGATTAAAGAAATAATTATTTCTCTTTACTTTTATTTTATTTTGTCTTGAGGCACTTCCTAATCAAATTGAGTATCGTCCTCAAAAGTCCAACCTTCCAGGACTATTAGATGCGAACAATAAGAGTTTTGAAAACTCACAAATTTGCAACAATACAGTTATCCAGCAAAAATATGAAACAATTTGTTCCATTTAATGTATTTCTTTTGACATCACTAAAATTGGACTGGGAAGAATTAGGTAATTTAGTAAAATATTTATTTTACAAAACAGAGATTGTGTAGACTTTTTCAGCATTTTGACTGCCAGCCAGTGAACAAAGCTGAGAAAGAAGACTTCCTCAATTCAAGTCAAATGAGGATAATTCCCTAAAAACATTTCCTCACTCTGTGGTTATTGTATGAGTAAATGATTACTTTAGCAACCAATAAGTTGGCCAGGGAAAAACACTTCTGTTAAAATGAAATGATTACAAAACATGTATTTTTGGGGGAACATAATGCATTTTAGGTGCTATTTTGTTATTGTGTCTGTAATTAATCTGGTAACAGTCTACAAATGTCTCCTTATTTGATAAGTTAATTAACAAACTTTTAAATTTAGAGATCAGTAGACATTCTACAAAATTTGGGGATTGCACTTGTTATTCAGGTGGCTACTTAGGAATCCACTTAGGGCAGGTAGACCCCGGTTGGTCTCTCCCAACTTAAACTGTGGGTGGATTTTACTGCAGATCGACTTTAAAGCGAGTAAACAATGTATTGAGTATAATAAAATCTGCTAAAACACTAGATAATCTTGTTACTACCTAAAATTACTACCTACAAATCACCAACACAAAGTATAGAACTATAATAACTCTATACATACAATTATTTTTCTTTAGTAACATAGTGTAGTGTCAGAATTTTTCATAAAACCATTTTGCCATGACAAATACATATATAGAATTCTCTAAAATCTACATATGCAGGGTTATTCATTATTAACAAAGGATTAATTATGAGGCGGCTAGCCAATGTTTGCTAGCCAGCAGCCACATGAAAAACATTTTTAAATAATACTTCCATATTACTATAATGAAGGTATTGTTATCACCTGGTCGTGCACTACATATTAAAAACTAGAAACTGGGCAGCCATTCCCACCCAGTCACTAGAAGAGCCCCAATCCCCTCGTACCCACATTTAAAGGCATTGGGTGGGGTCTACTTTAAATATTTAGGACTAAGTAATCCCTAATATTAATAATAAAGAGGAGGGTCCTAATGTCCTCTTATGAATTTTATCCATAGGCAAAGGGTGAGAGCTCTAATATTAATAATAAAAGAGGATATCTAGTGACCATGCCTATGGGTGATGAGTGTGGGCCCTACTATAAATAATACATTTATTTTACAGGTTTTAGGTATATGGGCCCTCCTCACTATTATTAGGGTGAGTGGTTTTAGGTAGAAACTTTAATATAAGTAGGTGACTAGGGGGTTGGGTGACTCTAACCATCATGAGAACATGCTATTATTTGAGGGGGTGGACAATAACATGTCCGTCTTCTCATTTTATTATGAATTATGGGTGGGGGCACTAGGTCCCTCCCTTTATTATGAATATTAGAGCCCCCAACTGTCACCCATAGGTGGAGGCCACGGGAACACTAGCTCCCCTTTTTTTATTTTTAATATTATGTCTTTCTAACAAAAACCCAGTGTCTACTGAGTAGCTCTGTATTTTTACTTATTGCTATATTTAACAAATAAGTATTTGTGAAGTGTGAAAATTGTATTTATATGCAGGAATACACATCTCTTTACCGTGAAACTCTGTATCTGCATCTTTGCTCCAAATCAATCATTGTAACAAGCTCTGTCCTTTGCACCTGGCAGTTAGCAGAAAGATGGTTCAACAATGTTTTTATTTCTGCTCAGTTGCCGTGTTTGTCCTGGCTCTGCCTTGAAGTATATTATGATTTGCTAAATCTTTAATATAATTTTAAAAGAAACTGGAAAACCTCCTGGGAAAAAAAGGTTAACACGAGTTGTAGTTGATTCCAAAGAAATTACATTTCCTATATAATGCATTTTAATGTAACCAGTTGTATCTACATGACAGGTACATGTGTACTACTGATTTACACGTAATCAGATGCCTACTGTAGAAATCAATGTTTAGCTAGTCTCTCCCAAAATGGGGAGAGAAAACACCTTAAAACAGGAATAAATCCATGTTGACCAAGAGATCAGAAAAAAAACTGCAAAATACTTACACGTAATTAATGATAGAACAGCATGAAAATGTGACTCCAAGCTAAGAAAATGAAAACCCAAATACTGCAAAATAATTGAATACAGGTAACAATAACATCTAAAGAGTGTTTGAGTAACTTCCTTGTTAATTAAGTTGCTGATTTATGCAAGGCTGGACACAGATAAAAGAAGTGCCAACACAAATTAATCAATCATTTAAATCTTTTGTAAAAACTAGAGCTATTTTGTCTTTGGTATACAGGGCATTCATTTTCCATTGTAATTAAGGCATTTAACTCCCACATAAGAACTACAACTTCCATGATGTTTTGCATGCCTTTAGAATGACAACGCATCATGGAAGCTGTAATTTTAAAATATCTGAGGATCTCCCTTTTGGGTACACCTGCTCTACCTGATCTGAGAGCAATGAACAGCTTCCTGTCAGGCCATGCAGAGGATAAAGAAGATCTGCACAGCCATTCTACATGGAGGTAAGCAGGAAAAAAAGGGTAGAGGATGGAAGACATCACATGGTATTGGGGAAGGAGGTGAAGGAGGGGGAGGGGGCAAAGGCACAAAGAGGTACTGGAGAAGGTGAAAAGAGACAAAGAGAGGGTAAGGGGAGAAAGCAACAAGTTGCTAGGGAAAGAGATACACTGGGGAGCTGGGGAAGGGGAGAAAGAGACACACAAAAGGAGCTGGGGATGAGACACACAGAGGGACTGGGAAAGGGAGAAAGAGACACACTGAGGCAAAGAGAAAAGAGAGGCACTGCGAGAAGACACACAGGGAGTGAGTGGGAGAAAGAGACCCACTTAAGAGCTGGGGGGAATAAAATACCCATAAAGCAGCAGTGGGGAATTAAGAGACACACCAATCAGCTGAAGAAAAGCAAAGCGGATGGAGGAGTAAGAGACACACAAGGCAATGTAAGACACACAAAGGGTCATTTGCAATGATGAGGAACAGTAAAAGTAAATGCATGGCCTTGTGTCCAATGTAAAGTTCTGTTTATGAATAGATTTTTAGACAATGCTTTTTTATTGGCCCTGAATATATTTGTATAATGCTATCATATCCTTTCTGAGGCACTGTTTTTTCAAACCAATGAGATTTATATTTGTTAACCTTTCAAATTTGGAGGGAGTCTGTTTGCAGTTGAGTCAAGTAAACCTTTAAAGGTAAGTACAATTTTAATGTGATTATTTTTGCATAATATTTTTTAAATACAGAGGGTAGGTTTTACTCTATAGTTTCCTTAACTATGGATGTTTTACAATGTTCAAAAAACATTGTTATGTAGACTTAGATGAATGATGAATAACATTAATACTTCATTTTATTTAGGAAATAATGTTTGAATATTTGTTTTTCTTTTCTTTTCTTTTTTTCCCAAATCCCAAAAAATAAAATTAGGATCTGTTGATACAGGTTACAAGTGGTGTATAAGTTCATTCACCTTAGATCACATTAACTCAACAAAAATATCTCAAAAGGGATGTATAACATTAATACAAAGTACACATTGGCTTCAAAGGAGTGTTGGTTGTAAACATCAAATGGTTTGTAAACCTAAAAAGATACCCTTATAGACTGATAGAAACTAGATTTTAGAGAGAATTTGCTCTTTTACACCTACAAAAATTATATTATCTAGATCTGGAATTATATAAGCCACTATCACAATTCGAATGTTATGGATCTTATTAACATGACATTAAATTAATAAAAAAAAGAATTGTGGTCAAGAGCAAATTGTAGTCAAAAACAGTTAAGCTGTAACTATAAGTTAAGAGAAGACTTTTTCCAAATAGCTATATTTGCTTAAATGTTGAATTTCACTTTTCAATTAGCTATATTTTCACGGTGATCCTTGAATAAATCCCTACAAATATTTTGTAGCTAGTGTATGTAAGTAAATTTTTACTGATTTCACATAACTCTCTGTGTCAGTATGCCTCACATATTATTTTGTGTTTGGATTTATAATACTGTTCAGCCTTGACAAGTACCCCAAAAAAATAAGCATGCAAAGGAAAAAAACCTCAAGGTTTGTCTAGAGATCTATTGATCTCTCCAGATTTTCCACAATACCTAGCATCTTTTGCCTAAAATGTCTTAAATGTCCACTCATTCATTTTGATAAAAATACATGTTTGGCTTCAATTCTGCTTTCCTTCTGCCACATTAAATCTGAGTTACCATCATTGAATAGGATATTTTGTGACTTAGAACAATTAATGTGTTATTGGAACTGTGAGAATTTTACTAAACTTCAATGCTTGATATGATAGGAATTTACTCTTTTCAGATAGTTTACAAACTGTGTATTTATAATTTGTCTCCTAAAATGCATTATATATATTTGTCTACAAATCGTACATTTATGTAATCCTTCACATGGCGTTCAAATCGTGATTGTGCTTCTGACAGCTTGTTACAAAGTGACATTATTGAGCAATGTCATAATAATAGTTTCGTAAAATCGGTTCGACTGTGGCAAAAGTGGGTCTTTCTTCAATACTGAAAAAAAAAAGAAGGTTGAGAAATAAA